AGGTGTGCAGAGCTCCCTCAGACACACAGGTTGGAGGGAATCTCTCACCTGGAGAGGGAGTATCCTTGACCCTGCTGGGGCAGCATATGAACCTCTCCCTGGCAACCAGGATGGAGGCTTCCTGCCCTGGAGGAGGGAGTCCTCTCGACCCAGGCTGCAGCAGGGTGAGCACCCAGGATGGAGGGGTCGCCCCTGGAGGAGGGAGTCCCCTTGACCCTAGCTGCAGTGATGTGCGGAGCTCCCCAGGTACCCAGGGTGGAGGGGTCTGGCCCCTGGAAGGAGGAGACCCCTCAACCCTGCCTGCGGTATGGCGTGCAGAGCTCCCCAGGTACATAGGGTAAAGGAGTCCCACCCCTGTATGGGGAGTCCACTCAACCCTGGCTGCAGCAGCATGAGGAGCTCCCCCTGGCACCCTGGGTGGAGGGGTCTCGCCCCTGGAGGAAGGAATCACCTCGACATTGGCTGCAGTGGTTTGCGGAGCTCCCACAGGGACCCTAGGTGGAGGGGTCTCCCCATGGAGGGGGGAGTCTCCTCGAGCCTGGGTGCGGTGGAGGTGGCGTGCCGAGCACACCCTGGCACCCAGGTTGGAGGAGTTTCCATTTTGGAGGGAGTAGCGCACTGAGCCTGGCTGCAGTGGCTTGGGGAGCTACCTCTGGAACCCAGGTTGAGGTGTCACTCTCCTAGAGGGTGGAGTATACTTGGCCCTGGCTTTAGCTGCATGTGGAACACCCCTGGTCACCCAGATAGGGGGAGTCTCATCCCTGAGAAGGGAGTGCCCTTGAGCCTGGCTGTGGCAGCATGGTGTGCTACTCCTGGCACCCAGCATGAAGGGGTCCTACCTCTGGAGAAGGCAGTCCCCTGGAGTCTGGCTGCAGCAACCTGCTGAGCTTCCCCTGGCACCCAGGTTGTAGGGGGTCCTGCCATTGAAGGGGGAGTCCTCTAGACCTTGGCTGCGGCAGCAAGTGGAGCTTCCTCACCCCCGCACCTAGGGTAGAGGGGTCCCACCCTGGAGGGAGCTACCCCTGAAACCCAGGGTGGAGAGGCCTCCCACCTGGAGAGGGTAGTCCTCTTGAAACAGGCTGCAGCAGCATGGGGACCTCGCCGTGGCAACCCCTCGCCCCTTGAGGGGAAAGTCCCCTGGAGCCTGCCTGTAGCAGCAAGCAGAGCTTGCCCTGGCACCCAGGGTTTAGGGGCCTCCCTCCTGGAGTGGGGAAGTCTCCTGAGGCTGGGTGCAGTGACCTGTGGAGCTCCCCCAATCACCCAGGATGGAGGGGGTCTCGCCCCTGGAGAAGAGTTTCCTCCAGTCTGGCTACCCCAGCATGCACAGATTCTCTGGGAGTCTCACCCATGGAGGGTGGATTGCCCTCGATCCTGGGTGCAGCAGCATGCAGACCTTACCTGGCATTCAGGGTGAAGGGGTCTCACCACTGGAGAAGGAAGTGCCATTGACCCTGATGCACCCAGGGTGGAGAGGATCTGACCTAGGAGGGAGGAGTACCCTCGACCCTGGATTCTGTGGCCTGT